ATTCGCTGCCTTCTCCTGAAACACAGAACCAGACACAGACGGACAAGCAGACACAAGACAGGACTCATAACAATGTTCACTCCACATAGAGATGGAGTTCAAGCCCCAATCCACTCTAGGATTGTGCCGCACCAGCCAAGGGTGGCCCAAAACTACGGGTGCTAAAGGTGAGTCCATGAGGAGAAATGTGATGTTCTCAGTGTGGTTGCCTGACATAATGAGGGTTATGGGACCGGTGGTAAGCGAAAATATTGGGGAGTTCTTGTCCATTGAGAGCATTTACAGAGATATGATGGGTGAGTGGTGTGATGGGGAGCTGAAACTTGTAGGGGAAGTGAAGGTCCATGAAGTTACCTTCAGCTCCGGAATCCAGCAAGGCTTGGCAGGTGTGAGTGTGGTTGGCCTATCTCAGTCTTACCGGAAGGAGAGTTGATGGTAATGACTTCTCGGCGGAGATCCCACCCGATAGTAGCCTCTTCATTAATACCGGGCTTGCTCTTTTACCGGACACGAGTGTAAGAAATGTCCCATGCCCCCACAGTACAGACAAAGTCCTCGGGATCTCCGCCTTCTCTCTCCTCCCGGGAAAGCCGAGCTCTCCCCACCTGCATGGGCTCGTGATCGACAACGGGACCGACCATGTTCTCCTCGCTGGCCAACCGACCCTCAGTGCCTCCGGAAGTGTGGATAGGGCGAGTGTATCGCTCAATGCGGTTGAGGCGAGCATCTACTCGTAGTGCCAGATCAATAAGTCTATTGAGATTCTGGGGAAGGTATATTTCTCTTTGAACACGGTCGGCCAGCCCATGCAGGAACATATCCCAATGCGCCTCCTCGTTCCACTTGCACTCCGCCGCCAAAGTGCAGAACTCGATGGAGTAATCAGCGACAGAACGATCACCTTGTCTGAGATCTGCGAGCAGTCTGGCAGCTTCCTTGCCCGCCACCGCACGGTCGAAAACTCTTCTCATCTCGGCGGCGAGTGCCTGGAACGAGGCACAGCATGAGTCTTGATTCTCCCACACCGCCTTTCCTCATAATGTGAGGAAATAATGAGTACAAACGCTACCCGGCAATCCCCCCTCTCAAAAGTCCTGGGCTGTAAGGAGAAATGCATTGAACACCTGGTAAGAAAGGCTCTGCAAAAATTAGGCTCACCAGCATAGCTCTCAGGAACAGGTAGGCGTGGCTCAGGTCGATTACTCGGCTCCGGTTGTGTGGGGGGAACTGGCGGTGTGGGTGGCGCAGTGGGATTTCTCAGGAGTTGGACTTACTGGGAGAGCTCGGACACCTGCGTAACGATCGCTTGCACAGCGCGCCCCGTGCCGGTAATGCTCTCCTGCTGCTGGTCCATGCGAGAGATACTGTGATTTATGAACTCAGTCAATGAAACAGAACTTGCTGCATCCATGACGTGGTCAGATCGTTATGTTACGTAAAATATAGACAGATGCAATTGCAAGTAAAAGACTCTTTATTGAGTAAATGGTAGTCCAGAGCGTGATGCAGATGGCAGCAGGAGAGCGATGATGCAGGGACTTCGATGGGTAATCCGGGAAGTGCTGAGTGGTGAAATCCAGGAAAAGTTCGTGAGGAACTGGAGAAGCACAAATCCAGAAAACAGGGACACACGAGGAGAACAGGGAACAGGCTCCAACAACAATCTGACAAACACAAGAAGAAAGACAAGGCGTTAAATAGGCTGGCTATATGTGATGCAGCTCGCGCTGATGAGGGAATCAATAATCAGCGGTAACGCCCACGCGAAACAATCAGTACGAACATAACACACACACACACACACACAAGACATGAGTAAACCAGTGGATCTAACAACCGTGACAGAGGTTTGTTCTTATGATGTGCACTTTATACTGTTTGTCTTTTGATCAATGTTTATATGAATAGAAGCCTAAATTAAATGTGTTCATCATATAAAGCGATCATGTCTCTTCATAAGACTTGGACTAAGCCACTCGATTGATGAATGCACAAAAAAAGATGAATATTAGAAATATTTTCATAAGTGTTACGAAGCTGAACGTAAGCCTAGGGGTTTCGAAGAACATGAGGGTGAGTAAAACAATGACAGATTCCTATTCCTTTTACAGATACAACTTTTGATTTAAAAAATGTATTAGTAAATGTTGGAATTATTAAGATTAATAAATGCTGTATAAGTATAATTGTCCATTGTAAGTTGACACCTTATTGTAAAGTGTTAGCGATTAATTGAATGGAAATGAATCAAGACATTTGTCATCTGAGAAATTTTGCCCATGTAACACACACGCACTGTAGAGAGCGCATGACGATGAAGAATTTAACAAAAACAGTGTTTAATCAAAAATCCAACAAAAGAACACGCAGGAGATTACAGGAGAAAGCTTAGCAAAACAACCACGTATAACCTAGATGAAAATCAACACCGAACAAAGAACTGTGAGAACTGAAGGCTTAAATACAGTGGGGAGGTTAACCAACGGAATCTGAAACAGGTGTGTAACAATCAGTAACCAAGGAAACTAACTATAATGGGGAACAAAGGAAACAGGTACAGGAACTAGAATTAAATCAAAACAGAACGTACATGTGACAGTACCAAAGTTGAATAAAGGTAATCACACAAAATATATTTTCATTTATACTCCAAAAGTTTCTATTCTCATAAATAAGCATTTTCTAAACATGATTTCAATCAAAAGACTTTCATTACTTTACGTATCTTTACTTTAACATATCTGATTGCAAAAACCCCCCCAAAAAACCCATTAAAATCCAAGATAGGACATGAACAAAAGTTTTAAACACGCAAATCCAGTGTAATATCTGAGAAAGGACCTGACTAACTAGTGCACTGAATCATTCCATGTGGCAAAATCACTTGTGGCCGTCTCCCTCTGGAACTAATCAATCAGGTACATTCTCACCCTCTAAGCCAGCACATATAGGCTGATATGAGTAATTTATGGGACAGAATTAAACCAATACCGATAATGACATTTTCTATGCTGCTTAGCAGCTGTTTTGTCGCTCCTATGAGTGCTCAAAGGTGTGAAAATCCTTCTTTTTGGGGGTTTGAGTCATGCATGGGAATTATAGTCTCAGTCTGAGATTGGTGGAACTTGCAGTGATCCGTGTTATGGTCATTGCAGGATATGAGTAAAGGCAAGAGTAAAGCCTTTATTTAAAAAAAAAGCCCACTATTGCAAATAAAGACATCTCAATATGCAATTGAGATATGCCAGTGGTTTCTAGTCCAATGATCCAGGGCCATTACAGCTTTGTGACACATCAGCATTGCATTAAGACATTTAGTGTATGCTGATGGAAGCATGATATGACCTTGAAATATTACATTATCACAAATATAGGCTGCAGACTAAGACTTAAATTCCTCCCTGAAATATCTGAACTGTTAAATGCTTAGTTTTTTGGTGGATCTATTGTATCAAAGTTAACTAAGCTGTAGTAGGCCTACTGACAGCACATGTCTAGCCATTAGATGTTATAAACATCTGAAGTCCAGTACTCTCATGGAGCATATATTACTTACACATGTAGTGTGTGTGAGTGAAAAAAGAAAACTGGGGTCACCACAAAGGCACATGAAGTAAAGTCTTACAGGCAGCCAGGGTATAGACTAATGTAGTTGTATATGTTCTGCAGTGCATACCAGAATCTTTGCAATTTTTCCCTTTTCCTTGTGGGAGAATTTTTCTCCTAAAAAAAACCTTTAGGGGCTAGGTTATATATTTCTTAGGTTTGTCTGGTTGGGAGGTGTACTTAAACCAGTAAAGACAATGATTAATTATTTATTTTTTATATATAGCCTATGTAAAATATGTAATGAGCATTAATGAGTCTGTCATGATTTTGCAGGTAATGTTAATATGCACCTAACATTAACTATTGCAAAAAAGTGCATATTTTTAATGATGAAGAGTTGACAAGGTTTTCAGGTTATTATATTTTGTTTAGGTGCTGTTAAACCTTTTAATCACTCTTTTTCCCAACTAAGCAAGCAAGCATGTTACTCATTGGATAGTTCAATACAAATGTCACGACTTTTCTAATAAAATAAAATAAAGTAAAAATATAGGCTATGTTTTATTTTTGGCTATTGTAAATGAAAACTAATTACAATTTATGTAACAGTCAATATTTTTTATTATTACTCTGAAGCGATATTTCTGGAAGAAAAAGTTACTTTTTCATTTAATGTTATACTTTTAGAACTATAGCCTATATTTTAAATACATCTGTTATTCAAAATGCCAAAATGGGGCTCGGACTTTGATTTCATGATGTGTATGAGACAAGAACAAACGTAATAATAGTGCTACTAGACCATTTAAATATCATAAAGTATGTAGGCTAAATAGTTGTGATTATTATTATGTTTTGTACGACTTTTTTATGGAGCTTTGACACAAACTCTTGTTTAAAATACATAAACTCGTTTTAGACAAATCTAATTCCAACGTAAATTTTTATCACAAATTTAAGAGCTAGGTTAAATTGTGTTCTTTGTATTAGCCCAAGGTAATTAGCCTATAACCATGGTTTTTCTTAATCTAATTCTTATCTGAAAAGCATAATAAATGACGAAGTCTTTATTTGCTTATAGGATAATCGCCAATAAACGACATGAACTTGCATTTTTCATTGTTCATAAAATTGTGACTAAAAATTCGATTCAGGTTTTATGAGTGTATCTTTAGCTGGATAGCATAAACTCTTCTTGTAATGATTCAGGTTAAACGAATGTCTTTGAAGGAGTATAAATGTTGACGAGTGGGATGGCGCTTCAGTAAAGGTAACGCACGTGAAGAGTGGGTTTGACATTGGGAGTTTGAAAGTGGAGACCGACACAGTGAGGCTTCTGCTCTCAGCCTCTCGTCAGGGAAACATAATAGTTTATCAACCCGAATGTGACTTATTCCAGTGACATTTAGGCTAGCAGTAAAGAACTGGAGATACCGTGTGGAAACGCGCGCGCACGCTGCCGGATCTTGTCGGCGATTTTCAATGAAGAATGTTTTATTTTTCGTATCTTCGCTGTAATTGGACATCGACCACGAATTATGTTTGTGAGAACAGTCGCCTGTAAGGTGCTTGAACTTTCAGGAATAATTGCTTGACGGATTCGTCTGACATGGACTCAGTGGATAAATAAATCACACATTCTATCGATACCAAAAGGCTATATTTTGTCCTGTCACTCAGTTTATTTACTGTCATTTTTGCTGAAAGTCCGATGGACCGAGAATCTTCACACAATAAAATACACGCACAGAGGAATTAATGAAGAACTTATCGTTTGGGATAAAAATCATACAGGGTTTGGAAATCTCACAATGAGGCTGAAATCATCGAGGTTAGGTTACCTGTAAGTAGCCTATATACTTAATATCGACGTTTCATTTCTAAACTGTTATTTTATAGTTTGAAACATAATAATAATAATCCACAATTTTTGTATTTCAGATTCCTTCAATTCACGACTCTGTGTTTTTATACTCAGGTAAGTTTTCTGCATTATGTAAGTGTTCTCAAACAAGCATCTCAAATAGGTATACACTGTTGAGAAACTTTAATATTGTAACATCGGTTTAACCAAAATGAGCTACATGGGTGAAATCACATGTAGTTGCAAGTGTCTCTGTAAAAAAATATTAATCAAAAAGTAAAAGTAAAATGTTTAGATCTGGTTTATAATTGTAGGTGTTAGTGGATGTTAAAGGACAGTTTCAAGTGAATGAGCATGCTGTTTTGTTTACTTTGATATATAACATCCACATACACTTTTTACCTACATGTTAAAAAATAAAAATATCACTGGGAGGGTTGTAACATGACTTTCCAGTGTTTTCTATTGGACCCACAAAGACAGGTGTGACAGCTCTTCATTTTTAGAGTTGTAAGCATATATTTGTTTCAAATTGTATGTGCTGTTTTCAATTATGCTTATTTTATGTTTAATATTTTCAAATAAATTGGGTGGGGTGATCATGCATGGACAATACTAAATATTTTGAACAAGAATGTTTGGATGCCACAATAAATTCATGCACAAAATATAAACCTTAAAATAATTTTCTATTAGTGTTTTACACCCCATCCTGTTGTAGATTTAGTTTTTGTGCCTGACATAAATTTTTATGGATTATAAATAATTCATAGAATTATCAATTTCTTTCATTTGTGTAGGTAAATGGGAATAATGTGTCAAAGTTTTAGTCACATAATGCAAAACAAAACAGTCACAGACATTGAACCAAAAAATGTTACAACAATACTCCGTCTCCCCTACAAATATTTTCCAGTAAAACATCAGCAAGACACACTGAAAACGATAAGTATTTTACGCACATTAATCCTGTGATGTTATGTGTGTGTAGTAAATGTGTTATAACCGTGAAAACAACTCATTATTAATAGAGTCATTGGCAAATTGTCAAACATCTTGAAAAGGCGTAAACCCCTCACTTTAAAGGTAATGGCTCTAACATGTGGGCAAGGCACATGGCTGACTTACAAAAGAAAATCATTATGGGAAAAGACCCGAGAGACAGGGGTGAAAGATCAGTGTTGGTAGAAACGAACCCTCATTGGCATGTCATCTAGAGTGTGGACAGCACACTTGCCCTGAGAATGCCAACCATCTTGTGTCCTCCACTTCATTAGACCAGGCACATATGGAATCATTATTTGAATCTGATGAGAAACAATTGATTGTACTTAAGACTAAGAGTGCAGTCCATAATGTTTATATCATTGTTCTAATATACACAATGAATCAATAATCGTAATATAGTTCTTCTGTTTATACACCATGAATCTGCATGTTCTTCTGTCACATTTTTATAGATGACGATGCAGTCCATCTCCGTACCCAATTTTAAGCACCACGTAACGGAGCAGAGTCGTCTATCCGACAGGATGAGTCGGAGATTAACAAGGACTTATCAGCTCTATAGCCGGACCAGCGGAAAACATGTACAAGTCCTGGGCAATAAGAGGGTCAATGCCAATGGCGAGGATGGAGATATTCATGGCAAGTCACAATCTTTGCAGATGCACTTTTATCCATTATTTTACTTTGTCAGCTTTAAACAATAGGACAGAACAGTCAGTTGAGGATATCACCTCAGGTTACTTTAAAGAATGTCCAGTAAATGCCATTGCCAAAAAGTAACCTGCATAGTTTGAAATGAATTCTATATTGTCGAGTTTGGGAACCTCAAGAGAAACCCGTTTCGTTTCTGGAAAACACATCAGTACTCATCTTACCTCTGCCGTCTTAACATTTCCAGAATAGTTCTCCATATAATAAAAGTTGTAGGATAGAAATATGACATGCAATTTTCTAACATCATTATTTTTCATCTTTCACGTCTTCCAAAACAAATGTTTATTGTTCCTGTATTATGTGTGAAGCAAGATGATGATCTAAAGTTTCAATCACTTGTCAAGAGTTATTGGCACCAAAATTACATGCGTATTTTTATTCTGCTAAATATATGATTCATAGTATGCCTTGATGCTGCAAATAGGCCATGAAAAGTCAATCTGGTTTTTACTTGAACTCGATGTCATTTTAAAGCTAGCCTATACATTAAGCCACCTGTTTTAAGTGAGCTACGGCACTTCTTCTCCAAACAAAACAGTGGTTAGAATCCCGTCCGCTGGGAATGAATTCCTGTCACTAAAGTGTTTCTGTGTGTCTAGCCATCTTTCCACTCGTGCAGTCCATCCACTTTGCCCACTTTTTTGGAGGGCCATTTTACGAGGAATTTTCATAGCTTTACAACTCAAAGTATGAGTCAATTTATGAAGAGAAGTGAGGTCAGCGTCATTGGTTTATACCTTTCTTTGTTACTCTTACTTTTACTCTTTGTAGTCTTGGCCTAACACACACATGCCTTCACACATCTAGACTCAATATTAGCAATATATTTTGTGTTGACACTATTTTCAAACCCAGACTAAATTACAACAATGAAAATCATAAACTCTCCAGTACACAATAAGAAGCATCACTCATTGTATATATCACCACATCAAGTGACGTGTAAAAGTAACAAACTTTGTCACATTTCCAGCTAAACTTATTGTGGAAACCGACACGTTTGGAAGCCGGGTTCGAATCAGAGGAGCAAAAACAGGATACTACATTTGCATGAACAAGAGAGGCAAGCTTATTGGACGGGTGAGTTTAACCCCTTAAGTGCCCCCCTTTTTTTTTCATAGACATAAAAATGTAATTGTAATTAAGTGTGTTTATGTTTAATTATTTTTCAATGATATATCTACAAGATACATTCCTTTAACTCAAACAGTAGAGCATGACACTACAAATGCCAAGGTCATTGGTTCGATTCCCAGGAAAATGCAAGAACCTGATCAAATCTGTACCTTGAATGCAATGTACTGTAAGTCACTTTGGATAAAAGAGTCTGCCAAGTGCTGAATGCGATGAAATCATACTTGTATGATTTTAATAAAATATAGACATCTAAATTGGTGCTAATCGTATCAGGTAAACCCATCATGCCCTGTGAACAAAACTGAGCCTCATAAATCTCTCAGGCTTGAATAGCAGATTTCTGAGTTTGTCATTTCAGTCCTCCGCTGTCTGTCTCTTTTTGTTGCCAGAGGAAGGGCCGTGGCAGGGACTGCATATTCACTGAGATTGTTCTGGAAAATAACTACACGGCTTTGCAGAACGCTAAGTACAAAGGCTGGTACATGGCCTTTACACGCAAGGGCCGACCCAGGAAAGCCATGCAGACTCAGCAGCACCAGCGAGAGGCTCATTTCATGAAACGTCTTCCTCGGGGACACCTGTTAACAGAAAGGAAGCCTTTTGATTTAATCCCATATCCCATCAACAAGAGGACTAAGCACCATCAACGCACAAGCGCGAATTGAGAAAAGGGCAGTATCATATCTTATACTGGAGTGCTATCTTAATTTGAGTTAATCTAATCTATGTGCATCCATAGTTCTGGACATCATGGCAAACTGATGCTGTGTAAAAGAAAAAGAAAAAAGGAGGCTGTACAGATGGACGACTGTACTACGAACAGTTTGTTCTGGGACAATTACTGAACTGTTGACTGAACAGAGGACACCGTAAGCCTTGTAATAATGAGCAACACATCTCTGGGAATACAACAAGACAACAGAACACATGACACACAAACACTCTCAGAAAAAGGGGTCCTATTATGCTATTTCACTTTTTCAACTTTAGTTAGTCTGTAATGTTGCTGTTTGAGCATAAAAAAGATCAAAGATAAAGATATTTTATTTAAAAGAATCCACTTTCCAAGAACTACAGCGAACGACTCGTTTGGACTACAGTGCGTTTTATTCCGGGCTTTGTGAAGTCATAATGTTACTCATTTTAATAATATCCGCCCACAGAAAACGCAAATAAGGGGACGAGGCCTGGATGAGTTGCATTAGAGAAGACAGTGTTGTCACTATGGCAAAGAGACACTGTTTTGTCCACCCCATTTCCAAAGCTATGTCCTATTATTTGTAGTTATGTTTTCTATTAACAGTTCCAATTATACGTTTTATGTAGTTTCTACGATGTAAACAAAGGGCAAAGCTTTGCCTCCGCTTAGTATTGATGTAGTGTTTACTGTTGCTTTTGTAAGCTCTCGCTTATGTAAGACTGTTCACCGCCCCTTAGGAAATTAACCAGGGTTTTGTGATTGATTACTGTTTGCATTACCATAGTTTTCCAACAAATATCATGATTAAATGGTGTATAACATCGTATCTAAAATGAATAACATGAAAAACATACCACTCTGAAACGTCCTGTGAAATCCGTGGTTGCAAAGACAAAATCTGTTTTGGACGATCCTCTTAAGTCTTAAGTCTTAAGACATTCTTAAGTCTAAATCAGGCTTGAATTGGTTTGAAATTGACACCATCCTTAATATTTACACCTGAGCAGATGAAACTCACGGTTATGGTAAGGGGCGTGACATTTCCCGAACACATGGTGCCAATTACAACACACTGGGCCAGCTAACCAATCACATCACATTTTGTATTTCGGAAGGAGAGGCTTCATCGAAACTGGAACTAATGACGCGTTCGAAATATAAATTTGTAACATATGTAAAATATGTGAAAAATAATGTGTTTTTGAACAATCAAGCATGAAAGCATATTCTAGTACACCCCAAAAACAAAATCAAGACTTCGTAAAAGGACATAATAGGACCCCTTTGAAGGGACAACTTTGGACCTCATTTACCCCTTAAAGGGTATATATCACTACTCTAAGGTAAGCTGACACATTAAGGGTACTGTTTTTGCTAAAAAAAATTCTGACAGTGAACATGGCAGCTACCTACTGATAATCTCAAAAGTATGCAGATACACACAGATTCCATGATGTGTAGTGACATTATCAAAAAGCATCTTTATTGTTTGTACATGACTATATATTTTTATTGGAAGATTGTAAGATACTTCAAAAAGTGGAAATATTTATTTTAGAGCGTGTATTAAATTCATGTAAAAGTATTGATTTAACAAGTTTATAGGCTGTGTGATTCATTGACTCCCTAAACGTCTTTTGTGGGAACTTAAAATTTGGACCGTGATTGATTCGACTCCTTTGAGATGCGCTTCTACGCTGAATTTGCTTTGAAGGAGTCAGCGATCATTAACTGACGGGTTGAATTCTAGCTCTCTCATAGATCACACTGTATGTGTGTGGGCGCATCAAGAACACGAACACGACAAGTGTGGGTTAAAGTCGAAGGCCTCCAGGAACACAAGTCGGCCAAATTGGGAGCCAGTTTCTTTCAGAGTCAGGCTTATTCAGTTGACAACAACAGCAGCCTGAGAGAAACCTCAAGGGCATGCTCGGGTCTATTCAAGAGGTATACCTCCAGGACCGTATGGCTGTTGTTATGTTTTTGGCCCAGCAGTCGAACTCCCAGAAAAAGAGGCCTGAGCCTCAGATAACTGTGAGGCAATATCTGTGACAGGCCGGTCTCGATTGAATGTGCTCAGCAAGTGAGACTGGGCCTTTGAATAGCTTGGGCCTTTTGCTTTAGAAGAGATGAGGTCAACCCACCATTGCTGTCCCAAACAAAGGTTACCACCGTGTAGTTGCATTTCTGCGACCCGCACACCGTAACCCTCTGATCAAATGCTGCCTTTGTAGGCGCCGTAGAAAAGAAACATGTTATACAATGGTGGACCTGAATAATAACACAAGGAGGGGTCAGCTATCAAAAAAGGAAGCCCAGTCACACAGAGGGGGTGAGGGCGGGCGGGAGAGAGAAACCAAGAGCGACTCGAGGGGAAGGAAAACGTTTCGGGGGGTGTTATGGGTTGAGATGTGGGCGAGAGGGGCTGAAAGAGGGCAAATGGCTGGGAAGAGGCAAAGAGGGGCACAGACGAATGAAAAGGGCCAAAAAAGAGTGTCTCTCTGTTGAGGCAGTTGAGCATGACCATTGAGGCCTCAGGATGGGGAGGGAGAAAGGGAAGAAGAGACACTGAACAAAAATCACAGCGCTGAGCTCTTCGCCCTGTCGCCTTTTCCCAGGACTTCTGATTTGTCAGTTGGCCCTTGGACTGCTTCCATCTGTAGAGCCATGTTGTGGTAGAAAAGCATCTAGAAAAGCATTTTATTGACCTACTAAAACTATTTAAATTGGTGCTTTGTTCTGTTTATGTCAAAAGACCACTATAGGCTAATGCTATGGCCGCATCATTAAAAAAATTAGACTTAATTTTTGTATTTTAAAATGGAAATGTTTTTGTGTCCGCTTATTAACCACAAATTTGGAATTTTTCACACAATATCCGTTTAAAAATGATACAAGGTATTATATGATGCAGGTATTATAAAACAATCAATGTTTACACTGCACAACTTTTAAAATGTGAACAGATTATAAAACACTAAGCATCATACATGTTCCTGTAAATAGTTACAGAGAAAACCTGGACATCATGCACGAAACGACTGAGGATCACATCAGAATTTTACATTCTTCTGAACACAACAAGCTCATACGAAAACATAAACATATAGACACACAACAAATTAAAACAATATGTGTTCTAAAACATGTTTGAAATCGTCTAGACTGGATGGAATCACAGTCTGAATCTAAAAAATCGGAGTATGTGCCTATCATATTTTTTTAATCTATCACAATTTTCTGTTCTCTGACAGTCCAAAATCTGCAGACTGACTCTGATTTTTGGCAATTAGCGTCAACTCCAGACTGCAAATCTGGGCAAAAATCCAGCATAGGTTGTGTAGTAAAATCCAGTCACATTTAGCCACTCGTTAGAAATCGAATCGGTTACCTAACGTAACCTCGGTTCTCTCTAGAAGAGGGAACGAGTATTGCGTAAGCTAGCTTACGCTGCGGGAAAGATTCATCTTTGCTGAGATATTGAAGCCAAAAAATTATTTCATAATTTGTATCCATACACAACGCAGTTCCTCTGCGGCAGACCTAGAGCAGGCTAGCTAGCAGCTCATTGGTTCGCTCAGAGAGAACTGCTTAAGCCTATGGGAGAGCGGGGCTGAACCCGCTTCCAATGAGAGGCGCCCGCGCGCTCATTGCGTCATGGCCCGCCAGAATGGGCGTGGCCATGGTGTATATAACAGTCTCTCCCAGGCTTATATGTTGATTTATTTCAGCGTGAAGCGAAACGCTAGTAGCGCAAGCACGGCCGGGAACGCAATACTCGTTCCCTCTTCTAGAGAGAACCGAGGTTACGTTAGGTAACCGATTCGTTCTCTTACGAGAGGTTCTCTCGTATTGCGTAAGCTAGCTTACGCTGCGGGAACACCTGGTCAACGCCGTGCGCGCTATGAATCCACTCATGAATCCCAGGGTGATACCGGGGGATTTTTAACGTGGAGTGAATGTATTATGAGGCCGGCAGAGCGGGCACATGAAGTGTATACATAAGCATGTATGAGGCCGGCAGAGCGGGCACATGAAGTGTATAAGCATTTAAGGAGAGCACAAGGGGCGAACCGGTTGTGTGAGGGACTCCCAGTAATGCAGCTTCTTAGGGAGCTGGTCGTTTAGACAGCTAGTAATTTTGCCTGCAAGGCGGGAACTTCCAAGTTGTAAAATCTGACAAAAGTGGACGGGGAGGCCCATCCCGCGGCCACACAAATGTCATGAATGGAAATTCCACAGGACCATGCCCACGATGAGGCCATGCCTCTAGTGGAGTGCCCCCTGATGCCCAGAGGGCAGGGCAGGCATTTAGATGCGTAAGCAGAGGCGATAGCGTCTACTATCCATCTAGACAGTGTCTGTTTAGAGGCGGCCAGACCTTTGGTGCGCCCCCCAAACGACACGAAAAGCTGCTCAGCGCGTCTGAACGCGGCAGCGCGCGTAGTGTACAATCTCAGAGCCCGCACCGGGCAGAGGAGATTGGCGTCGCGCTCACTATCGGATGAAGGCAGAGCCGATAGGGAAATAATCTGAGCCCTGAACGGGGTACCAATCGCCTTCGGGACATAGCCATGTCTAGGTTTGAGAATGACAACAGAATCATTCGGACCAAACTCGAGACACGCGGCGCTGGATGAGAGCGCGTGAAGATCCCCCACGCGTTTTACTGAGGACAGAGCCGTCAGAAAAACGGTTTTGAGCGAGAGGTATTTTAGGTCCACAGACTCGAGCGGTTCGAACGGGGGTGCTTTCATAGCTTCGAGAACTATAGAAAGATCCCAGATAGGAACCGAAGGGGGGCGCGGAGGGTTCATCCTCTTAGCTCCCCTGAGGAAGCGGATGACTAACTCGTCTTTGCCCAGGGACTGAGCGCGTCGGGGTTCAGAGAACGCCGCGACGGCTGCCACGTAAACCTTGAGAGTGGAGGGGGACCTGCCCTTGTCCAGCATCTCTTGAAGGAAAACAAGCAAAGACGGCACCTCGCATGACCGTGGGTCCAGATGTTTGTCGGTGCACCATTTTGAGAACACAGACCATTTAGACGCATAGAGCCTTCTCGTGGAAGGTGCTCTAGCCTGTATGATAGTGTTTCTTACTCCTTCTGGCAAATCAACGAATAGTCGTTGATCACCCATGCATGTAGCGCCCAGCGCCGTGGATGGGGGTGCCAGATCGTGCCGCGAGCCTGAGAGAGGAGATCTGCTCTGACTGGGATGGGCCACGGGGCTGTCTGCGAC